CCGTTCCCGCCTCCGCCCGCCGCCATGGCGGCCTTCCCCCGCCACCGCCGCTTTCTGGGCGGCTTCGTCTGCGGGGCCGCGGCGGGCACTGCCGTGTCGTGCTGGGCTGCGTGGCGGCTCCTCCGCAGCCAAAGCCAGCCGGAGACGGTCCCCGGGAGAGCCTTGCCAGAGGGTAAGAGCCGCGGGCAGAGCGGGAGGCTCGGGCGCGGCGGCCCCGTGGCTCCGCGGGGCGGGAGCGGCGGCGCCTCAGCACGGCCACGGTCCCCACAGACCGCTCCCCCCCGGCCCCTAAACCCGCTCCATCCCCTCGGAGCAGCCTTCTCCGTCCTGGGGTGCCCACAGTGGGTCGGGAGGGCGGGGAGTTCACCGAGTACCTGCGCCGGGCTGGGATGGGGGGGGGGGTAAGGGGGTTATTTTGGGATGCTGGGCTGTAATTTGCGTTAAAAACACAGCTTCCCCTTGCTGCACCTGCTCACGCCGAAACATTGGTGACACGCGAGGTAAGTGGTTTCGTGCGGCTGCCACGATGGCTGCAAATGTCCCGTGTCGCCGTGGGGAGCGGAGAAGAGCTGTCCTGTGTGTTCTGGTAACGTCCCCGTAATAACATAAAATAACTTTTAAACACGCAGTTCAGGTCAGGCCATCACTAAATTTCAGGTATTACTTCCCGAGCGCTGCCCTGGGGAGACAAGGCCAGCACGGGTGGTGGCTGTTCACTTGGGAAGACCCTGGCCCACTTGCCGTGGGGGCTGGTGGGGGGCACCAGGGCCTGGTGGGAATGAATGGTTTTTCTCTGCAGCCTGAAGGCTTTAAAAGTACTGGAGTGTTGGAAAGCAGGGGAAGAGGGGCTCTAAAAAGGCGGGTTGCTGTCGAACAGATGGCTGGAGCACAAGGAAGTCAGTAAGACAGATGTAAATATTCCTCCATGAGAGAAAAATGTTTGCAAAAAAAAAAAAAAGAGTAATCGCAAAGTGAAGCTTTCATTCATTCAGCAGAGTGTAAGCATTCTCAGTGAGGGCAGGACTCGCACTTGTGCTTAACTCGTACATCTCAGTTTATGAGGAGGAGTGCGATTTCCAGCTCTGAAGGGTGAAATGCGTGTGTTGATCTCCTGTGTCCCTAACTCCTTGTTGCCTGATTTGTCCCTAAATATCTGATCCCTTTTCTTCTGAAGGCCAGCCCAGAGCAATTGCTAGGTAGATGCATGTAGGCATTAGAGTGGATGATTTAGTCCTAGAGCTGAGTTTGTCATGTGAGGACAAGGTGAAATGCACTTTTTTGGTAGAACGGAGTTTCACTGGATAGCTCTCTTAATATTTTTTTAAGTCTTAATGGTGGTAGTAACCTCAAGTAGTTCCTTATATGGTGTGTTTACATCCACAGAGATGCTTTTCTTACTGTCTTGTTTCTGATCACATTTCATCTTTGGGTGGCTTTCTGTTTATTGTTATCCTTAGAACCAGTAGAAGAGTCTCTGCTGGAAAAATATGGATTCCCTGAAGCTGGAACAGAGACCAGATGTTACACAAATCACGCACTGTCTTATGACCAGGCAAAACGGGTGCCTAGATGGGTGATTGAACATATTTCAAAACAGAAGACACTGGGTATGTAGGTATTTATTTGCTTACATTTATGATGCCCAAAATGGGCTTTGCTGTTCACAGAAGGTGGACCCAGCAGCAGACAGGGAGAAAAATCCTACACTGATCTCTAGGTATGGATTTTTCCACACATTCACAATCCCACTGGAGGCAGCAGGCCTCTGCGTGGATGTCAGCTTTGTGACAGTATTAAGGCTGATGTTGCCAGTGGTTTAAAAGAGATCTGTCACTGCAGGTTGGCAGGCCTCTTCAGTATTCTTTCTCTTGGTGGGACTAGTCTGGTATTGAACGTACAACATCCTGAAGCCTGCAACATATACTTGGCCCAAGGGCTGAGTATGAAAGGGAGGAATGAAGAAGAACTAGAGCTACCTTCTGGGAGAAGTTTCTGTTATGAATTTATGAAACAGTCGGTAAGCACCAGACAATATAGCTGTGTCAGTGTAAACACTCTAAGTAGTGTTGCAGGAGGGAAGCTTAACTTACCTCTTTTAAACATGAATGGAGAGAAGATGAAGCGCTGAAAATTAAAGTTTCCTTACCCAACTCAGACTTGCAAAGTTCAGTGTTATTGCTCAAGTGCATAAAAATTGCTCTTGCTTCCTTAGCTAGTGTAGTTAGTCCTGTGGTCCAACTTATGTCAGTTTAGGTACTGCCCCATATGTGTGAATGCTTGTGGAGTCAACGCCTTTAGTGGCCAGACTGTTTCATCTACAGGTCTTAAAGAGATTTGCTCAGAATGGGAAGAAAAGATGTATGTCCATTTGTGAGATAAAAATGGAGCAAAGGGCATCAACGGTTGTAATTGTTCAAAGCTAGATAGGGCATTACCTACTCGCTGCAGCCATTACTTACTTTGATGCAGTTCTCTTGTATTTTCTGATGTGCATTATCTAATACTCTCTCCCCTCTTCTTTATGCAAGACAGAGGCTCAGTGATTTTTTACTGTCAGTGGTGAATGAAATATGAGTGGTATACAGTCATTGTAAATTAAGTTTATAGCATTAGTTCAGTTTTTATAAGGCAAATTATTAGCAATGGAGGTAACTGTATAACTGTAAAATGTTTTATGAATGCAGTAGCCCTCTAAATATATCTTAATCACTGTCTTCAAATTACCTTTCAAAATTAAAAGCGTGATCCTGAAAATATTTATAACCAACCCCTAAGTAGCATCATTGGTTCCACTTCTTTCTGAGAAGAAAGCAGTAATTCCAGGCTTACTTTCAAGCGGGCCTTAAGAGCCAAATTGTTAAAATGATTTCCAAATGATCAGATACAACTAACCTGCAAGTTGAAATTAAGCATCTTGAGGCATTCAGCTCTGAGTTACTTCTGATAGCTACTCTAATTCAGATCTGAGGCGGAACTGTGTTGTTCGGGGAAGGTCAGAAAAACCTTCCATGTCCTGGAGTTTTGAAAGGATGTGATGTAAAAAAAATTATTTTATTGACAAGTAAGAACTTAAAAGTTTAAAAAACATGGTGGAAAGAAATTAGCTTTATGTATAAATGAGAGGTACAAAACTGGCTACAGAAGAAATTAGCCATTTTTGTCAAAGCAGTGAACAGAGACTAAATGAGGATATATTTTTCCATTTTTCAAATTTAATTGATAAATTACACTTTGTCTTAAATACTGAGATTAAATATGATTTTTTAAAAACAAGAATTCTGTTGTTTTGCATACTGATAAACTTGTCAGTATTGCTTCCTAAGCATCAATCCTGTGTTGAAGTATCACGTCACATGCCTTACTAAAAAAAGAAAAGAGAAGTGAAGCTCCTTCCTTCTACCTGCGCTGCATAAAGATGCTCTGACCACCTCTCTGTTTTGACATCATCTCCATGGGCATATGAACAGATGGTCAGCAAAGAGGAAATTGCTTACAGGCACTGGTTTCCAAGAGATGCATTATCCATATGCATGCTCATTTTCCACCCCTTCCCTTCTTCCTTGTGGTCCTTGCATATTCGTGGGTTCTTCAGGGAGCTGCCAAGTGGAGAGCGTGTACCACACTTTGTTCTGAGTACACAGCACAAGGAAGCATAGAGCGGGTATGCACTCAGTGATAATACTGACATGACAAAAAAAACAGAGTGCATGCAGTTTGTGTGGATATGCACAGTCAGCTATAGAAGAAAGAATAATTTTAACAACTAGCAGTGATCACTGTTGAAAATTGCCCCTCACGTTGTATTGCAACAGGAAGTACTTTATGAAGTGCCAAGTTTGAGAAAATTCTCTCTGGTGTGTACCGGCCCTGATTCATGCTTAAATGAAAAGAGACTATATAATGGTCCTGTATATTGCATCTGTGATATGATGCCTAAGATGACACCCTGAATTTTTTAAAGAAAATTCAGTATGCTGTAGATACTTTGAATTATATTGTCATTTGGGGAAAAAAAATTGTGGACAACAGTGATGGTGCTCTAAGCCAATTATTTTCCAGCTCTCTTGACCCACTGCACACGGACAGCCGAGTCAGCCCTTGCATGTGCCTCTGCTGCTTTGCTGGAGCACCTTCCTTAACTATGGATGTTCTTGGGTCCCAGGCCATTCCCTAAGATGGTGTCTTACTGGAGACTGTCAGTGCCAGGATGATTCATGCAAGTATCTTCTGGCCATCACTTTTGCAAGGAAGTGGTCTCAAAGTTGTAGCCCACTCAGAGTAACATCTTTTCCAAGGAGTTGTCTGGGACTCTACACAGTGCAAGGACACAAATGCAGGTGTATGGCCAGTAAATCTGGGAAGGAGTCACAGCCTCCCCAGCAAAGACAGCAGCTTAGAGTGGGCTGCCATCTCCGCAACAGTTAAGTTAGCTCCCCCCACAACCCTTCCCCCAAAAAGTTTTTGTCTTCCAGAAGACTTAGGCCTAGCCATTTTTGTGCGTAATTCCCAAATATCTGGAAAGACAGAAGGGGAATCTTGGAAAGGAACAGGAAAGCTCTGCACTTATTTCTGTGCCTGTGAAGAACAGAACACTTAAGACTTTCTCTTAAATGGGTTTATTATTTTACCAAGTGTAACTTTATCAAGATACACTCATTCTACTTCCAGGCTAGACTTGGAAAAAGAAGAATTACTTGTAGTAGATCAAACATAAAAATGGAATTGCAGCTGGTGAAGATCTGTATATCTCCATTGTCCTAAAAAGTGATTCTATACTGGTTTATATCTTTAGCAATCTTGCCTTTAATATTTATCTGTATTTCTGATAAGATTAATATATTTTGCTTTTGTTTTTTTCTCTATAAAACAGTAAGCATGTTAGAATTTCTAATATGTAGTGGGAAAGAATTTAGGACTGGAGCACACATATTTAAGTTGAATTCTCTTGTATGGTTGAGGAAAAAATACTCAGTTGAGATTAATATGTTGAATCCTTAAGCATGGGTCATTTGGCAAGATGTGACAGAACCAGTTCTTTTTGTCTTGTTGTTATGATGGTTTAATGGTAACCTAATAATTTAGCATGTTATTCCTCAGGCAATGCAGACCGAAGGCACTGTAAATTCAGACCAGATCCTAACATCCCTCTAATGTTTAGTGCTGTCAATGAAGACTACCTTGGGAGCGGATGGTCACGAGGACACATGGCACCAGCAGGAGATAACAAATTTTCAACAGTAGGATTTTTTTTTTTCTTTCTTTTTAATTTGTGTTTATCAGTCGGAAAGGGTCAAAAGACCCTTGAAAGTAATGTGTAGTGTTCCTTTTGCAGTTTGTTTTGAGATGGAACATGATCTCATTATTGATGCACAGACTTGGACTTGGAGTTACAAGGTCTATTCCTGACTGAGCACTGTAAGATGCTCTCACAGTCTGCTTCGGGCATATAAATCGGGTGCATCCTCTGGTGACATACCTCTCTTCATTAAATCACACCTAGATTAGCTTGTTGGGCAGAGATGATGTGAGTATATCTTGTACAGTATAGTGGTAAGCAAGTCATCTCAACCTTTTGTATGTCACATTGTCTACTTGTAAAATGAAGATTATAACCTTCACCAAACAAACCTCGAAAGTGTCTTCTGAAGCTCAGTGAAAGGGAGACAGGGAACGATGACTTCATTCTGGCCAACAGGTGCTGAGATGTTTAAGGCTAGATTGGGCAAAGCAAAGATGCTGTTAAGTACTGTTCTGTATTGGCAAGGGGATTGCCTGGATGATTTAAAAGGCTTTTTCCTTTCTGGCAGTGTGCATGAGGTAAATTAGAACCTTCTTTTGCCATAGTTCTTTCAGTCTATAAAATGTCTTCACCTGCCATTTATTTGAGCTGTAAGAAAAGCATGCCCTAATGCCTTGGCTGACTAACAAAGCAGCCTTGGATTTATTGGATCCTCTTGTGAAATGTGCCTAATGCAGCCATTTGTCAATTAAGAAGCAGTTTAAATTTGTATTTCTGCCAGGCAGAATAGTATGCAGTGGGGCAGAGTGACAGCTCAGTGGCATGTGGTGGATGAAAGAACCAGTTGTTTTATTTCTACTCGAAATGTCTTTGTGGTTTTTTATTTATGATATCCGGGGAGTTTTTGCTGGTGAGCTACCTGTGCAGAGAGATCCTGGACCTGGCTTGAAATGCAGTGAGATGATACAATCATTCAAATACAGGATTATAAAAATTTAATTTCACAGTTTAATTAGTGCAGGTAGTGTTTGCTCATTATCCTAAGGACTTCTGTCAGCCCCTTCACTTTGAAGAAGTACTATGTGAAAAATACTGACAAGTACAGGACCTATGAAGATTCTGGGTTAAGATCTTGGAAATTTTTTCTCCTATATTTCCCTGCATATGCGTAGTTTTTTAGCACCAGGTCATTCACATCTGGAGATATGTGGGCTTTAGTTCAGAGAGGTTTATGACACTTTTCAAAGATGAAATAAAGCAGATGTGTGGATATTTGACCATTATGGTCTCATAAATCATTTCATTGCCTGCATGTTATGTATTTGTAAAATATTTATGAATATTTTTAATAAACCTTTTCTTGTAAGGGAAAGAAAAAGCTAGCCATTAGGCAGTCAAATAAATGAAAAGCATGGGTGAAAGCATCTTTCCATTCAAAAAGAAGAGCAGCTAGTTACTTCCAAAGACATTACAAAACTGACACTGGGTGACATAGTAATTCCTGTGCCTCTAGAAGAGGACATTCTTGTGCTATGTTTCTGTCAAAAAAAAAAAAAAAAAAGTAGATAAATTTTGCAAGGTTTGCACCTCAGTTATGCACATCTTGATCCAAAATAATTTTGTAGATGTTCTGACTTAGGTTTTTTCTGACCTTTTATGTTGATAATGTTAAGACTAAATTAGAAATGGATTCTGATCAAGAAACTTTTAAAATGCGTTTTCAGCTCTTAAATGTTTGAATGAAATTATATTATCTTTCTCTATGCAGAGAGCTATGGCTGAAACATTCTACCTTTCTAACATCGTGCCTCAGAATTATGAAAATAATGCTGGATTTTGGAACAGGTGAGAAATTACTTGCAAGTAAACTAAGGGGAAAATACCAGGCAGTGGCATAAATCAAAAATGCTATATTTATAAAGCTTCTTCACATCCAAGTATTCTAGAGCACTTTATAGGCCATCTGTAGAGATCATAGGAACTTTCTCTGAAATGAAAGGCAGCTCAGTCCTTACAGTGCAAGAACAGTAAAATGACTACTTTCGTTCTTTATTCAATCAAACTGTAGAGGACATTTATTTAGAATAGATAAAATTACTTCTTGTGGCTGATGTGGGTAAAGGTACCAGGCTTAACATCTCTGTCCTTAAGGAAAGTTCAGTAGAAGCAAGGAACGGGTTTAGATCTTGCTTTAACATCCCTTCCTCAAAAAAGCACTTCCAGTATGAGAGTATTCACATCTCTGTATGTGGACATTAGTTCACTTTGAATTGGAGAACTGAGTGCTCCCTGCTGTGTCCTGACTACTTCAGGTCTTAGGTGTTTCTTCGAGTGCTGGCTTCCAAGTAGCAGTCAGGCAGGTTCTCTATCCCTTGTGAGCACCGGCTAGATCGGCTTTGAGGTGAAGTGAGTGGTTGATAAATTTAAACTTTATTCACATAGGATTTTTATTCTTTCCTTCCTTTGAGCAGAGAAAAACATTAATAAAAGTAGCATTCATCCAGTGCTTCTTGCATAGGACTTAACAGGATGTTACGACTCAGAAACAGGAGGGGAAAATGATGAATTTCACAAGGATCGCTCAAGGGAAGGTTAGCAAATTTATGTACGGTATTGTACTAAAAGTCTATCAAAAATGCATCATCATTCAACTACACACTACTTTCCAGTTTTACAAGAATGCATATAAAATCATATGAGGCATTCAGTAAGGTTATACTGTTTTATAGACAAATAAAATGCTGTAACATTTTAAGAGATTTTTTGGTATTGTTTTAATACCTCCAGTATTTGAGCATAAAATTTCCATATACCAAAGCTAGGCATTTGTACCAATTCAAGGCTGGAAACCCTTTTTATTTCTCATGAGCAGGATCTCTGCCTAATCAGGAAATCATGGGGAGTGTTTGAAAATTTCCCCTGGCACTGTCAGCCCCTCAATTTAAGCAGCTATTACCACTTTCTCCCAACCCCAGCACCCTATCCCCACAGTTTAAATACATGAACAAAGTATTTGTGCCACTTGTTTTGTCAGTCACTTGTTTGATGATAAATAGTTTTAAGGATACTGTGTTTCACATGTGTTGTATCCCTTCCTGGCTTCAGTACTCTCTTCCTTTCTCGTTTTTTTTTTTAAATTGCTTGCTTCTTGAATTGTTTTCTGAGGTGCAGGTAGACAATACAGCTTAGTCAGTTTAACAATGTGTTGTTTTTTAAAGTGGTGTTTGCCGTCCAGCCATGTGTTTTTGCTTTCCCAGTTCCAGCTCTGGTACTAGCCTGACTAGGGCAAGTCAATTCCATTTGCTAACACAGTTAAACTGATTCACATTTTGTTTTGCTTAGTTACGTTTCTGCCAGATTAGAAAATTGGATCAACTGGTGAGGTGAGTGCCAGAGCCAACAGGGAAGATGGAGTAGGACTGTTCAGCTGGGGCAGACAAGGGGAGCAGTAGGAAAGGGGAGAGCAGGACTGCATCTTTCAGCAAGCTATTTGATAGTAAGCTATTAGAATAGTTCAGTGGTGTGGTCTAACTGCACCTTAGTATTTATTCCTCTTTCTCTTCCCACCAACATGCGTGCTTCTTTCTTTCCTGACGTTTAACTGTTGTTTTCTGTCTTGTTTTGAGTGCAGTTTCATGGTCACTGTAATCTGATCACTGTCCCTGCTGCCACCAAAAGCAGTTTGCTCCCTAGCTACATTTATTCCCATTCTTTCCTTGTGCCAGGTGGTGTTTGTATTGCCATGCCGTGAGACAGCCTGAGGAGCTGAGCTGCTTGGAAGCAAAGCTGACGACAGCAGGGAAAAAAATTAGCTTGTGGTCAATGCTTTTGTGTATCACATGGCAGCTCACTATTACCAAAGAAGAAAGGGCTCATTCCTGCTAATTCTGATTCGTGGGGCTCACTCCTGCTAATTCTGATTTGTGTGAGCTGATTTAACTCACTAACCCAGCACAAAAAAAAAGACTGATTTTGTTCAGGGTTGTTGACAGATGAAGAGTGCTAAAAGTGGCCCAAGGGAGAGGTATGAGGAACAGGAGTGAGAGAGAGAAGGGCATGAAACCTCCCCTTTTCAGAGGCAGCCAGGTTAGCTGGGCTCATCTGTCTCATGTTCCGGTCTGTTTGTCCATTTGAGTAAAGTGCAACTCTGTCTGTAGTAAAGGACCAATGGGTGCTCGCTGTATGTGATTTCTATAACACTTGGGGTGTTAGATCAAAAATGGGCTATATTCTTTTGTTTTATGTAAAATAGGCATGATCCAGAAACCTTCTTATTTTCAGAAATACTTTATGCTGTAAACTGAATCAATTAGTTTAAAAAGCAAAAATAACATTAGTATTTCTGGAGTTACCACTTTATTTTTAAACAGTCTTATATTAAAAAAAAAAAAGGTAGACTTAGTGGGAATGGCACATAGAAACTTTTCTAAGTACTTTGAGCTACGGAAAGAGCTGTCTGTTGCAGGACATTGATTCCTTGGGGAGGAACATATAAATCCAGTAATGTGGTAAAACCTTTCAAAGAAAGAACACCACAACCTGCTGTTTAAAACAAGTATTTTACTAATCCCAAGTGACCATCAACAGTATCTTTCTAGTGCCAAGTGTCGGACTAAGTAGAGAACTCAGATTTTCAGGACAGGTGGTAAGGCTACAGATACTGTTTTCAAACACATGCCTATCTGTAAATAAGTGAACCTGGGACAAGTGGGAAGTATGACTTGGGCCTGTGTTTAACCTTCTTCAGTTTGCGAGTCAGTCACATGAGTTTGGAGAAAGGCTCCCAAACTGTCAGTAGTTCATCTTGCCCTTCATAGTATGTTTCAAAGATTATTAAGTTTTCCCAGCTGACTTTACCCTATCTGACAAATATGTTCCAGAATGGAAATGTATTGTCGGGAATTGACTGAGAGATTTGAGGATGTTTGGGTAGTTTCTGGACCTCTGACCTTGCCTCAAACAAATGATGATGGAAAGAAGAGTGTTACTTACCAGGTATGTGTATTTGTTGCTGCGTTAACAGTGCAGTGGTAATTATTTACTTATTTATTTAAAATTGATACTGTAGGCTGATAAAGTTCAACATCCTGGTACCTGCAAAATGTACAAAATGTCCAATACTAGTTGGGACAAGTTCAGTAGAGATGTTATATCTTGCCTGCACATGAAAAGTATAATTTTAAAATAATTTGTTCTATTTAGAAAGATCTACTAAATGTCTGTTCGCAGTCTGGAGTAAAACTATTTTCTGACTTCTGTAACACAGGACGGTATCTAAGCAGAGAGTTAGTGGGTTTTGCTGATGTGTAGGCATTTATTCAGTCATTTATTGATGTATTTTAGAAACAGTGCAATACAAAGATAATGTGGGTTTCTCAAAACTATATAGGGTATTGGAATGCCTGTACTCCATTAATTTCAAAAGCAGTTGTTTGCTGATATCCCATATATGTTACTTAGATCAGGCCTTGCAACACAACTGAAATTTTGAGCATACCAAAGTCAATTGAAAGACTTCATTCAAGTTAGTAGGTTTTAGGTGAATGCAGTGTAATCACTGGTCCATGGTACTGATACCCGCCCTCCTTCTTTTGGTCCCCCGTTTTCATTACCTGCTTAAAATACTCTGAAGATTGAGGATTGATCATGCAGAGTCTCTAGAAACTGTCACTGACAGACAGATAGGAAAGGCTGTGAAGTTGAGAGGTGAATTTATTATTGCTTATCCTGACTTACTCTTTGTAAGCATGTGTTTAGACATCTGTAGGATCTAAGCATAGTAAGTTATTCAAGGGAGGGAGTATTGCCCCTACTGTAATGAGATATTATTGCTTTTTTCAGTTGCTAGATGAAAGCTAGCATAATGCAAATAATAAATGCTGTATTTTGCGCCTCTTGAAAAAACACTTTTCCTTGAAAATAAGTACTCAGATCAACTGCACCTTCAGCTCATGAGCGATTCAGCTGTCCAACTAGTTCTCTGAGGAGCAATGAATGAGCTTGCTATAACAAGCCCCTGTTTCAGAGGGATATGAGAGACACAAAAGAGAGAGATGTTCAGCTTTCAACACTGGCTTGTTTAGCGCTAAGATTTAGGCACAATTTCTTCATTATAAACACACAGCTGATTTCCATTTGATTGAACTTGGAACTCAGTCATGATAGAATGTAATTTTTCCTGTTTGCTTTTAGCTTTTTACTCCTTTAAAAACTGTCCCTTATGTCTCCACCTGCACATGTCTATAACCTCGACCATGATGAAATCACAGCTTTAGTTTTGGGTTTGTTGTTGGTTTTTTTTCCAGTCAGTCATGTGTTATTGTCGTGATTTAAGCCCAGCCGGTAACAAAGCACCACGAAGCCGCTCACTCACTCCTCTCCCCCGGCCCTGGTAGGACGAGGAGAAAATATAAAGAAAAGCTCGTGGGTCGACACAAGGACAGGGAGGGATCACTCACCACTTATGGTCACGGGCAAAAAACAGACTCAACTTGGGGAAGAAGCAAAATCAATTTAATTTACTCCAAATCAAATCAAAAGAAGGATAATGAGAAGTAAATTCAAATCTTAAAACACCTTCCCCCCACCCCTTCCTTCTTCCCGGGCACAGCTTCACTCCCAAATTCTCTACCTACCCCCTCCAGTGGTGCAGGGGGACAGGGAATGGGGGTTACGGTCAGTTCATCACACCTTGTCTCTGCCACCTCTTCCTCCTCAGGGGGAGGACTCTTCACTCTTCCCCTGCTCCAGTGTGGGGTCCTCCATGGGAGACAGTCCTCCGTGAACTTCTCCAACGTGAGTCCTTTCTCTGGCATGGATCCTTCCCACGGGCTGCAGTCCTTCATGAGCTTCCCTGGCATGGGTCCTTTCTGCGGGCCGATCTTCAGGCACAGACCTGCTCCAGCGCAGGCTTTCCCAGGGAGCCACGGCCATCTTCAGGGGCATCCCCTGCTCCTGCGTGGGGTCCTCCACAGGCTGCAGATGGGCATCTGCTCCCCCGCTCCTCTCCATGGGCTGGGGGGGGACAGCCTGCCATCTCCCCACAGACTGCAGGGGCATCCCCTCCTCCGGCGCACCTCCTCCCATCATTCACTGACCTCGGTATCTGCACAGGGGTTTCACTCACATTCCAATCTCCTCCCACGCTGCAGGTTCCCGTTCTTAAATATATTATCCCAGAGGCGCTACCACTATCTCTGGTGGGGTCAGCCTTGGCCAGAGGCAGGTCTGACTTGGAGCCGGGGGAGCTTCTAGCAGCTTCTCACAGGAGCCACCCCTGCAGGCCCCTCCCTCGCTACCAAAACCCCACCACACAAACCCAAAACAGTTATGCATATGAAAATGCAGTAATAATAATTTTTCTTTTTCATGTTCAGTGGCAGTTCCAAACTTCAGCTCTCACCACATTTTTGTGAGGAAGGTGACAAATGTGCTCATTTTCAAGTGGATAAATAAGCCACGGTTAAAGGCATATGACCAACGCCACGTCACAAGTTAGTGGCAAAGCCAGCTTTAGGCTGGCAAAGGTTTCTTGCCACCCATGGGGAGAGTTCTGACTTTGCTATTGCCCGTTATTCTTTCCAGTCCTTTCCCTCATCTGCCAGTGCTGATGACTGTCAGATCCTTCCACAAGATGCTTAATTACCCAATGCAATAGAAAACCATCCATACTTATTTGCTTACTGGGCTTGTTTTCTACTGCCGTAGAAAGATAGAGCAGCACACAGAGGAGTCCAGCACTGGTAACAGCATGGGATATGTCCAAAAGCACATAGCTGGGAGCAGGAGGGAGATGTTCCCTTTCAATAGTCTTGAGCTGAGCATTTGGCTTACTGTCATGCAGACTGGTACTGTAAGAGTGGCCAGACTTGCACACAGCTTGCTGGAATTTACCTCCTTGTAGCTGTCAGGATATTGCATTTATTATTTTATCACCAAAATTATACATTCGTCTTACAGAACAAAGAATTAAAAGTCCTGAGCTGACTTGAACATGTTATAACTGGAAGTGATTTTCTGGGAAGCAGCTGAATCATCTATCAACTGCTTCACTTTAATCTTGGTCATCATCTTCTAGTTTTTCTTTAGAGAAAGTGTTTACTTAGAAGAGAAAGATTACCTTTTCTGAAAAATGATTGTGGCTTCCCATTTTGGTTTTGAAATGTAAATTTTAGTATTCCACAGGTAAAAATAAGAGCAGGCACTGCATCTTACTGCCTTTTTTCAAAATAACTTGATACCAGGATATGGTGATGGAATAATAGTGGCACAAAATGTCCACGCAGCTTTGATTACCATATCGTTCTGTTCTTGTCTGTTGCCAAGATGTCTTCATCATCTTTGGGTTTGATGACAACTCTGGTCTTTTATGAATGTTTTATCAGTTTTGGTCTTAATATAAACTATGAAGTGAAGTTCAGTGTGAGATTGAAAATGGTGAAATGATGTTTTTCATGTTTTCATTTCACAATTTGGCCACATAAATCATAAATCCTTTAGTCAGCTTCCTATGGTGAGAGTCATTGTGTAAATTGATTTGTATTTAAGCTGTATTTAAGTACAGATAATGCTGTCTACAGGTGGGAAAAGTAAAATGTTGATTTTGTTTTGGGTTTTTTTGTTTTAAATATTAGATTATTTGATTTGGTCCTCTTTGGCTACATTCCTAAGTGTAAATAAATACAGCCTGAGAATTGTTTTGTTATTTTGAAATCTCTTCATGGCATAAGTTCTTGTGCTTGCCATTGAAATTGTCCTTTGAGGAGAGACTTCAGAGTGGAGTAGTGGCGTGTTGGTTTTTTGTGTTTTGTTTCTTCTTACATCAACACATACACTTAGAAGAGGAAACACAACCTGTCAAAGCACTGGAGAGTTCTTTTCAGACAGATGCCTTGGATATAATTGCAGTCATTGCCGCTGATTTTGGTAGTCTGGGATTCTGCCTCAAAACCAAGAACACTAAGAGTTGGAAGCTGAACAAGAAGGGAAAGGTACCTCTTGTCTGTCTTTCCGAGTGAACTCCGTTAGCTTCAAACAAGTGACTTAGAAATGAAAGGCTTTTAGTCCTCATTGTTTGGGCTTATGAGGCTGATGATGTGAGAAGGTGTCCTTTTTCTTTATATGCTGTTTAAGGAGAAGTGCTGTAGTATACACAATAGTGCTGAAACTCACAACCTATAATCTGGCAATGTGACTTAAGGCTAAGCTCCTTTCTAATGTTTTTCTTCTCTGAGACTAGAACTGCGGAAAAAAGAAAACACAGAAGTACTACAGTGAATATGTCTGCATTGATTTGTTTTGGATCCTCTCTTCAATCTTAGTTTCCTTGGTTTTGGCTAAAGGAGTGGTGAAATATGTATCCGTGGCTTTACAGGCTGGTGTTTTTCTCATCAGACATCCAAAAAGGTTATTTTTAGATCACTATAGAGGAAAAACAGAGCATCGGTCATGGCATTGTTCCCAGTTCCTGCTTGGACTCTGGTACCATTTGCTGTTTAATTCCAGAAAGGGACTTAACCTTGAACTCCTTAGATGCCAGTGTTGTTCTATCTATTGGCTGAACTTGCTGTATCCTCAGATGTGTTCTGTCATTTCATCTGTCTCCAGCGGAGGCTTTTATTGCAAAGAGTAGATTGATGACTGTGCTTGGTATCTGAAAAACATATTTTGAGAATATATGTAAAATAGAATGCCAACAGGAAAAATCTGTTCTGTGTCATTGGAGAGGCAGATGCAGGTTTTTCATCTTTGTCCAGATCAAATCAAAATGACGTTGTCATGTTTTATATATTACTGTTCTCCAGTGACTGTCACTTTAGTGATTTTCCTCTGTCAGCAGATTTGGAGTTTGAAATATGAGTTTTGCAATAATTCTACTGCGTCATGCTCCATGCTCCACCCTTCTTGTTCCCAGTGCCATTGTAGTAAATACTAATTTAAGAAGAATTGACTGTGGTTGGTGAATGAAAGTACAGTTTAGATAACCTTTTGTTTGT